CCCACTCCTACATCCCCTATACAACCTTGCATCAGTTATTATCTCTATGCATCCACTCCTCCCGGGCTTCACAAACTGGGAAACCAAATACAAACAAAACCGAAATAAAGTGGTAAGGATAAAATAATAATAATAATACTGTAAAGATAAAAATACAAATAATGAGTAAGAAAGAAACGCACACCCTACATATTTAAAAAGCAAGGGGGAAAATTTTTGTCATGGGACACACAAGCGATATTTGCACCTGGAACAAATTCTGGTTGGGTCAAGAGGGAGGTCAGCTGAACAAGTGTCAAGTTCGATCCAGCATAATCGAGATTAGTGACCTCTGTCTGCTGGTAAGGCTGTTCGCGAGGCGAGGCTGTAGCTAGTGGGGTCTGCCAGTGGCTCAATGGAACAGTTACTCTGCAGGTGGGTTTTGGGTTCCCAATGGGGTCCCTTCGTCAGATTTGAATTTTGCTATTGTCGTCGTTGGATCACACAAGCGGGTGTTCTTGTTCCATGTGGACTCCTAGCTTAGATGACTTCTTGTTTGAATACACTCCTTTAAGACCCCATCTTCTTTTCGTGTCGTTTTAGTTAACATCCCTGGGGGTCTTGTTCATTGCATGCTCATTGAGTAGATAGAACATTCAAGGCTTGGTTATTACATGCTGCCACAGGTTCACGTGCTTAAGTAGTGGCAAGAATCCGTAAAGGCCGTCCAAATGACACGGGCTCAGCTCAGTGCTCTCCAAGGGCAGCACCCGGCGCTCATATTTTTGCCACGTGGCATTATCCCAATTTGGAAGTTTGCCCCCAAACGCCTTCGCTTTTCTTGGCTGCCTACGTGCAAACCTTCCCCGTAAATTCTGGACACGTTGCACTTCTGGAGCGAGCCGATGGGGCGTGCAACAGCAAACAGTTCCCGGGAGCGCTGCGCACTGGAGCAGCCGGCCATGCGGGCATCACGCCCCGGCCGTGTGAGCGGCCGCCGGCGCATGCGCACTCGGGCGGCGGTTGGCCCGGGCTTGGGGTCAGCGCCGGCGCGCGGGGCGGGGCCGGAAGCACTTCGACGTCCCCCCGTTGCTAAGAGACAAGGCTTCTACAAGCTACCCAGAGGTTCTAAGGCTTCTCTCTCTTCCTTTCTCCGCTTCAGCGCCTGTGAACCGGGCCACCATGCCGGACCCAGAAAATAACGAGGTCTTGCGAAGCACCTTTCCCTCTTACATGGCGGAGGGCGAGCGGCTCTATCTATGCGGCGAGTACAGCAAAGCTGCCCAGAGCTTCAGCAACGTGAGTCTCCTGAACCGATCCATCACCTATGCCTTCTTTCCATCACCCATCACACCGGCGTCCTGAGGATGCCCAGAGGACCACTCGAAGCTGCTCACTGTGGTTTTAGGGGTCCTTCTTTCCCGGTTGATACCCCAATCACCCACCTTTGTGGTTTCCTATCAATTCCCACTTACTGGCCTCCAGATTAGTAGTAGCCATTCTTTGCACTAGTGATAGATCCTCCTCCTTTGTCACTTGAGCCCTGGGGGCGCCGTGGTTGCGCAGTCGGCTGTGATCCACCAGGTCGGCAGTTCAATAGCACCAGCTGCTCCTCCCGTTTCTTGGACGTGGCTTTCTAACTGCAAAGAGTTACAGCCCCTCGCAGGGACAGGTCTACTGTGCCCCATGAGGTCG